GGAGGGGCCGTGGGGATGGAGGGAGGGGGTGGAGGAGGGAAGGGGGGTGGAGGAGAGATGGAAGGAGGGAGATGGTGGAGGGAAGGGGGTGGAGGAGGGAAGGAAGGGGGTGGAGGAGGGAGGGGGGTGGAGGAGAGATGGAGGGAGGGGGGTGGAGGAGGGAAGGAGGGGCAGAGGGGATGGAGGAGGGGGCAAGGGGGCGAGGGAGTGAGGATGGGAGGGGGCCAAGGGGCTGGACAAACAGGCAGAGAGGAGGCAGGAGACGGGGAAGCCGAGCTGGTGAGACTGGGCAGAAGGCCCCGAGTGACCTCTGGTCTGGGCTCCGCAGGAAGCGGGCAGCAGTCCGTGACGGGCGTCGAGGGCTCCGAGGATGCCAACAGTTACTGGAGGATTCGCGGCGGGGCAGACGGCGAGTGCCCCCGCGGGGTGCCGGTGCGCTGTGGACAAGCCGTGCGGCTCACCCACGTGAACACGGGCAAGAACCTCCACACCCACCACTTCCCCTCTCCTCTCTCTAACAACCAGGTGAGCCAGGCCCAGCAGGACCGACCAGGGCATGGGCAGGTGGAGGGGCCTGTCTGGGGCAGCCGGGGCCCCCCCAGGTTGTCTGAGACCTCTCGCTATGCAGAAGCCTCCTCTGGTGGCTTTCCTAAAAGGTGCCTGGGGTGGGGGGCGCTGAGCAAGGCCCCCATGGGGAAAATAGCATGAAAGGAAGGGCTTTCTGATAATCCATTTCTCCACTGTTCTCTGGGTCACAAGGTAGTGAGCTCCCCATTACTGGCGGTATGGGAGCTTGATGCCCACACAGCAGGAGATCTTGCAGAGACTGAACGTCTCTGACTAGTGGGATTAAGAAGTGCCCAGGATGAGGGTGAGAGGCAGAGGTGTCAAACGCAGAGCACAACCCTCCCAGACTAAAGCGCCATTGCCAGGGTGAAGAGAGGAAATGCAAACACAGAGTGCATTTGTGGAGGCCTTCAGGGGTTTCTTGGAGTCTGACACGACCAGCCCGAGGACCGCACAGCACGCCCCCACGTTGGTCCCCATGGAGGGGAGGGGGGGGTGGGCAGCATGGCTCCCCCTGGCCCGGTCCAGAGGCCTGTAGAGGCAGGCCGCACAGGAGTCAGGGTGCTCGGTGCTCCCCCGTGCCACTGACCAGGTCACTTTCTTGGCAGTAAAGTGAGGATAGCATTTTCTGCCTCGTGAGGTGGATGTGAAGAAAGTACTAGGTGAGCTGCCACGACATCAGTCTACCTGTGGGGAAGATGGGCTCATTCCCACCCCCTCTTCGGGCAAGGGGTGCTCAGCTGGTGAGAAAGTAGATATGGCAGTCCTTCAAAAACAAGTTTGGCGTGAACCTGTGGCAGCCCTCTACCCACACACCAAAGTGCCACCAGCTGCTAGCTTTGGTCTCTAAGGACATGGGTTCAAACCTTCCACACTGGGCAAGGATTTCCTTTGCCTCAGTTTGTGGCTCTGTAAAATGGGGGGGAGGGCTCGAGCTAGAGTATGCTTGAAGTCCCTCCAGCTCAAATCCCATAATCCCTTGCTTCCAGGAGGTGAGCGCCTTCGGAGACGGTGGGGAGGGAGACCAGCTGGATGTGTGGCTAGTGCAGTGCAGTGGGACATACTGGCACCGGGAGGAAGCTGTCCGCTTCCAGCACGCCGGCACCCACGTCTACTTGTCCGTCACGGGGGAGCAGTACGGGCACCCCATCCGAGGGCAGAGGGAGGTCCATGGCATGCCCAGTCCCAACCAGCACAACTCCTGGAAAGCCATGGAAGGTGTTTTCATCAAGCCCAGCCCCACAGAGCCGTCTAGACACGATGAGCTGTGAGTGAATGCCACCGCTGGCAGCCACCCGGGCCTCCCGCCTCCCCGTGGGGGTGGACTTGTTAAGACAGATGATGAATAAAATGCTTGTGTGGCTCCTTGTAGAGGCGTGGCAGCCTCCAGTTGGGGGGAACAGGGTCACCAGAGGCCAGAAGCATTTGTTAAAAGCCTACTATGTGCGTGAGACAGTCCCTACCCTCAGGGAGCCCCGGTCTAATGGGGACACATGCACCCGGACCCAAGGGGAGGCTTGAAGGAAGCCAGGAAAGTTAGGAGGTGGAAATGAGGAGAGGCTTGCAGGCCTGGGGGACAGGCGAGAAAATGCCCAGGCCCAGAGATGGAGGGATGAGGGAGGCCAGTACCCTGAGCTGGGGGGTAATGAGGCGTAAGGAGCCAAGGAAGGGAAGAGGGGGCAGGCTGTGACGGCCAAGTGGGGTGGGGGACACCCGGGCTTTAGAAAAATCACTTGAGTGGCTGAGTGGAGGATGGCCTGGAGGCAGGCAGCTAGGCCTCGAGGGCACCAGGGTGGGGGCAGGAGGCCCAGATGACTCCAAGGTTGGGAGTCTGAGGGACATTTCCTCTGTAGTGACAGGAAAGTAGCAGGGTGGAGTTCAAATCAGGCTTCAGACTCCTCTGCCTGCCTCAATTTCCTCAGCTGTAAAGTGGGGATAATAATCATTGTTTGTGTGACCCTGGACAATTCACTTAACCCCACTGCCTAGCCCAAAAAAAAAAAAGTTGTTTGTAAAGCACTTAGCTCATGCCTGGCACAGGTTAGGTGCTAGGTAGCCTGCCAGCTGTCAGTGGGAGAGGGGGGAGGGAGCAGGAGGTGGCATCCCAGGGGGCAGACTCAGCAAGCCGCCCCTCCCCAGCAGGGCCGTTGGCACAGAGGAGGCACAGCTGAGTGGGGGGGGCCCAAGGTAGAGAAACCAAGTGACCCCACCCTGGGCAAGGACTCTTCTGGGTGGGGGGGCTGCCTGTCTTGGGGGACACAAAAAACCAATGAGTGCTTCTGGGTCAGTGGGCGTCTCCCCAGCGCCAGAGGGTCATTTGTCCAGCTCGGGTCCCAGGGCCAGCACCCACCGTGTGAGTGGGAATTACCAGGAAGTAAGCTTCCACAAAACACCACAGACAGTAGTAGAGAGTGGCAGGAATCTCCCCAATCCCACCAAGTATTCAAGCAACAGCTCCTCTGGGGGCCATGCCACAGGAGCCAGGCAGGAGGCTGCCCAGAGGGAGGCTGGGGGGATGAGAAACCAGTGTCTCTGTTCATGGTTTGTTTTGTTTTTTTGGTGAGGGCAATTGGGGTTAAGTGACTTGCTCAGAGTCACACAGCTAGTGGGTGTTGAGTGTCTGAGGCCGGAGCTCCATGTATCCACTGCCCGCCGTGTTCACCTTTGAATGGCTTCATGAAGGGGCTGGCCTGGTTCCGCTTGGCCCCAAGTGGGATGGAGTGAGGCTGGAGAAGGCCTGGCTCCCTCGTGTCCAGAGCCCCTCCTAGGAGGGGCCGACCGAGAAGGGAGCCACAGGTGTGTGGGCAGGCTACAACCTGGACACTGGGGATGTACCCTCCCAACACAAGCAGACATGGGGTATGCCAAGGGCAGAGGGGAGCAGGGAGGCCACATTCACCCCTCCTGCCCCCTCTGTTCAGGCCAAGCTGAATTCTGGGATGCCATGCAGGCCAGAGAAACCAGGAGACCGCAGCTAGCCACAAGCCATCACCGGGGCTGGGGATGCCGACAGAACTGGTCAGTCCCTGCCCTCGGAGCAGCCCAGTCGGGGGAAGGGCATCCCACAAGCTGGTGGCCGTCGGGAGGCAACTCCTGCCTGACCTCTGTGTCCTCAAAGGGTGCCGCCCGGCCTGCAGTGCTCTGGCCTCATCCACGTGCCAAGCCTCTAAGCTCTGCTTCCTCCCATCAGCGCCCCTTATTAGCCACCTACTATGTGTTGGGCCCTGGGCTAAGCACCTTACAAATGCCTTGAATCTCAGGACAATCTTGTAAGGCAGATAGGTACCATTATCATTCCCATTGTATAGCTGAGGAAACTGAGGCAGAAAGCTAGGAAGGCTTTGAAGCCAAATTTGAACTTGGGTCTTGCAGAGCTCTGTGCACCGTGGCACCCCCCCCCCCGCTACCTTTGCCTTTCTTCGAATTCCCATCGATTAGCCCAGAGCCTGGCACGTAGTAGGTGCTTAATAAACACTGACAGGTCCATGTCAGGCCCTCTCCCTCTGATTGCAGGGGAGTCCCCAGACATCCATCAGGCCTTCCCTGCCCCAGCCTTGCATCGCTCACACCAGTCCAGACTGAGAGAGGCCTGACCAATGCCCTTTCACAATTGCACTGCTCGGTGACTGGACAGCAGGGCAACAGGGAAAGAGCTTTGGGCAGCCCCTGTGGCCCCTCCCCCAGCCCCAGCCAGGACCAGGCCAGGCAGGGGGGAAGGGCGGCCCCCAGGCATTTGGGGAATGTCAGTGTCTGCCCGGCTGGCCCTTCCCCCACCCCAGCTGTCTGGGGGCCCAGCGCACACCACGCATCAGGGAAAGTTCAGCAGCTCCCTCCCCACAGCCCGGCCTCAGTTGGCCCTTTTTCACTGGCTCTGCTGCTCTAAGGACAGACAGGTCCTCCATTCTAGGTGGGAGGGCCCAGAGTCACAGGCCCAGGCCTGCTTGATATACTCCTTGGCCCCAGGGTCGGGGTGGGGCCTGTTCAGTGGTCCCTCAGGGAGTCACTAACAACCACCATCCATCTCTCCCCCCCCCCCCCCCCCCCCCCCCCGGTATAATGATTATTCTCAATCTCCAGACTGAGGCCCAGAGAGTAGCAATGACTGGGGGTGGGGGACCGAATCAGGGAGGGGGGCGGGGCAGGTGGAGGGTCAGAGCTTGGGCCTGGAGTGGACCTCACCTCTATGAGCCTCTGCTTCCTCATCTGTAAGATGGGAGCTTGAAAGCCTATGCTCCTATTATCAAGCCAGGCCAACCAGTTTCCTTACCTGAGACCACCCAGAACACTGGGTGGAGGGCTTGGGCCTGGCTCCTTTATAGGGGTTTTGGTATGAAGATGCCTTAGGACCCCACTAAGCAAGGGAACCAACTGGACGGGAGCTGAGGACCACACAGAAAGGGGCTGGCTGACCAGAGGGAGAATGGAGGCAGATACAGGGGGCAGGCTGGATGGAGCCCCCCAAGTCTGGGCAGCTGGGATCGGCCCCCAGGCCCATTAGGCTGCACTGGGAGGGGGCGGGGCCGATCCAGCCCCATTGGGAGAGGAAGAGGTCAGAGTAGATGACCTCCAAGGTCCATTCCAGCTTGGGGCTGGAATCCTAAGCCCTAAATGGAGGTCAGAGGTTGTAGCTGAAGGGGAGGGGTAAACTGAGCAGGCCCCACTCCCCAGCGTGGGGGTCTCCCTGGGGAAAAAGGTCTGAGCTCTGCCGCCCCAAGGCAGGGCCCAGCCAGGAAGGGAGAAGCCGCATGGGGGGGGGGGGGGGGAGCAGATTATAGAAGGGGGGGGGGGCCTGCCTGCAGGAAAACTATGCAGACCACAAAGGAGGGGTGCTGAGACCTGCACGGCCTGGCCAGCCGTCTCTCCGAGGCCTGTCCTGGTGGCCAATGCCCTTTTAACATTGCACTGCCCCCTCACTGGCTCAGCAGGGCAACAAGAAAAGGGCTCTGGCCACCAGCATCGGGTGTCCAGCTCGGGGAGCCCTGCTCCAGAGGCAGGCGGGCATCTCTGCCCCAGGTGCGGAGATAGAGGTGGGGCAGGGGGTGTTCCAGGAGGGCTGGGCCAGGCCGCCCCACCCTGTGCCGGGGAGAAAGGAGACAACTTTGTGGACCAGACGGCTGGATCTCGGCTCAGCTCGCTCCTGGCCCTGGTGCAAAGACCACCCCCCACCCCAATCCCGGCCCTCCCCCCCATTCTCCTTACCCCCAACTCAACTCTTGGACCCCCCGGCCTGTTTCCCCTAAGAGCGCTCAGACGGGCTCGTACCCATCCCTCCCCACCCTCTCTGGCTCCCCACGTCCACTCCGGGTCCCCCCGCCCCAGGGCCAACCCTTCCCGGTGGTCCCCGTGGTTCCCTGCCCCCATTCTCCCAAACTCCGGCCTCCCTTTAGTCCCAGCTCTCCCCTCCTCACTCTCGGTGCCCACCCCTGGCCCCCTCCTCCCTGCCCACTCTTGCTATCCCCTGGTCCCCCTCCTCCTCACTCTTCTTGGTTCCCCCCAACTCCTCCCTGGCCCACTCGGGTCCCGTCTCCCCGACCTCTCCCCACTCTGCCCCCCCCGTCCCCCTCCCCGATCGCCCCCCAGCAGCTCCCGGCCCACGGGTCCCCCGAAGTGACCTCCCTCCGCCCCTCGAATCCCCGATTTCTGCGACCCCACCCCTCCTTCCTCGCACAACTTTGGGTTCGGCCGTCCCGCCCCGCCCCGCCCCCCCCCAAGGGGCCCCAGGACCTGCTTGTCGGGGAGCCGCGGGCCGGGGCGCCGATCTCGGTCTTGCGTGTGGCACGCCCGTCCGTGCCCGTGCCGGGGAGGGGCCAGCCAGGGGGCCGCTGCGCGTGGGCCGCCCCCGCCCCGCCCCGTTTAAATCCCCGCCCCCCCTCCCCCGGCCGCGCTACTCACGCCGCCATAGGAGGGCGGCTCGGCCCGGGAGCCGCGCGTGGGCCGGGCCGGGCCGGGCGTGGAGGGAGGCCGCGCGCGATCTCGTGGCTCCCGCCGCCGCCGCCGCCGCCGCCGCCGCCGCCGCGCGGGCTCCATCTTTGACGGCTGGCCCCGCTCCCAGCCCTCGTTAGCATAGCGGCGCGCCCATTGGCCGCTGCCTGCGCTAGTCCCGGCTGCCCGCCTCGCCACTGGCTGGGGGGCCGGAGATTTTAAAACGGGAGCCCGGCTCTGATTGGCTGGTCCGCCCGCCGCGTCACGGGCCGCTCGCTTTTAACAATGAACTCCGCAGCGCCCGCCCTCCCATTCACAATTTTTAAAAAACTGCCCGCCTTTTCTCGGCGGCGTGCTCCTCGTCCGCCCCGCCCCCTCTCCCTTTGGCCCACCCAACCCAAAGCCCGGGGTTCGAATGCTGTGGTCCCTACCCTGCTGGGCCACTTGGG